ACACACACACACACACACACACACATACACACACATATTATGTTATACAATTATATATATAAAATGTATTTTTTGTAAGCTCAGATATAGTACAAGCAAAATATGTACAGTATGCAGAGCATTATATACATACAGTAAGTGCAAAAATGCAATCTGTTAAAAAAAATAAAGAAAAATCCTTTATATTAATATAGTACATTGTGCCCTATTATCACATTTTTTACAGAGCATATGTTAGTCTACACTGTTATGTTGGTCATGTTAGTCTATAACACATAATAGCGCTTTAAAAAGTTACAATCCCAATATTTTTAGTTCGTTATTTTAGTATTATTTATATCCCATAATAGTATTTGATATTTGAATAGCTTTTATTTTTATATATTCTGTCTTTATTTTTAGATTAAGTTTCAGTAATTGTGTTATGTGCTTTTCTCATTTCTATTAGTCTTTTGTTTAACATTTTTATAATCATTTATTTCTAACCTTTATTTTATTTTTATTTTGCTTTTAGTTTCACATGTAGTAATTGTAGTACTTCAACGTATTTCAGTTAGCTGCAACATTTTTCATTTTTAAGTTTGCATATTTTACTTTTTTATATTTTATTTAGTTTTATTTTACAATAAAAACACTGGACACCAGTTAAAAGGTACTTTTTCTTTTTGTAGTCAACTCCTACTGCATTACTTGACTGTATGCTATTAAAAAAAGGAATGTTGAGAGCAATGCTTTGTGGGTCCAGTCAGTGTACCATATATTGCTGAGTGCTTACTGGTACATCAACTTAAGAAGAATGTAGTAGGATGATGGTGTTCCAAATTCAATTATTAATATTATCATTGGAACACCGTCATCCTAATACATATAGAAAATAGGCATATTCAATTTTCAAATACAGTATGTTCATATGTAACGGTCTACACAGTCTTCTGCATTCGGTTTTATTCTTTCTGGTTTGATACTTCCTGTATGACCTTTGTTGGAACAAAACCTTAAGGCAATACAACTTTGATTTCTCAGCACCTGGTAGAATTTCTCGTCTTGCAGACATCAATGTGTCAGACTGCCCAGCAGGAAGTCCAACATGGCAAAGGAGCTCACAGGAACCTGGGCTCTCACCTTAACATCCACAACAACTCATACTTCACTTTAAAGAGACCTTCAGGAAAAAAAATAAAGGGGGCGGACAAAACTACTTCAACTTTGCAGGAGCTAAGAGGTCGATTAAATGCACAATCATACAGAAAATATTAATTCTTTAAACAAATTATTCACCCCAAAATGAAAATTCTGTCATCATTTACTCACCCCTCATGTCCTTTCAAACCTGTATGACTCACTGTCTTCTGTGGAACACAAAAGAGGAAATTCTGAAGAATTGTACTGGTTAATCTTTTCCACACAATTACTTTGAATTGAAACTGAGGCTTTCAAGATTTAAAAAGGACAAACTGTTCTTTTGAGTAAGATGTTTTTTTTTTTTTTTACAAAATATCACAAAACCGGTCTGAATTATTTGTTCATGAATCAGACTGATCTTGCTCTCCAGTTCACTGGCACAATGATACATGTGCTCAACGAAGAGGAATATTCCCAGTAAATAACCACGTATAGTTGTCTATCATTCAGAATTCAGGATTCAGAAAACTCTTATGATACTATTATGGTCATTTTGTGTCTTTAAAAGCTTGAAAGCCTCGGTCTCCATGGGTTCTAACTGCATGGAAAATAACCAGATTAATTCTCCTTTTGCATTCCAAGGAAGAAATAAAGTCACACATGCTTGTTGTTTGATCCCCTGATAGACTTAAGTGATGCGTCAGCTGCAATAAAGCTTTTGATTTCAGGAAGTGGAAGTATAATAAGGAATAAATTGGCGATAATATTGGTAATAGTGTTAATGCTAATAGAACTTCATAATGGTAATGTTAACAGAATCGATTTAAAAATGTTTTGATGGATTCAATATATCTCAAGCACATGACATTTTATATTGCATTGTTTTTCTGTCTGTATAACTCGAGCCATCTAACATTCAAAAAGGCATCACAAACACAAAAGCACAATCCTGTTTAGACACACTTTGTAACAAGGGAACCTCAGGCTGGAATGAGCTAGTTTAGCTACAAGCATGTCTCCGGTGGGCTGCACTGATTTGCGTGCAGCCGGAGGGCAGGGAGCCGGCCTGCGGGGGAAAGCAGAGCATGTTTCCCCCACAGGGTTGTCTCACAGCCATTACCTCCTGCCAAGTCCTTGCATTGATTCTTACTAAGGGGCTCTGTTCCACACCGGGTCAGACAACAGCTACAAGCACAACTTGAAATGGAGAGAGATGGATGGCAACGGTATGAGCTCTCATGCATCCAAACATTGAAATCAATTTTATGGCATGTAGGGTCAAGGTTATAAATAATGTCAACAAAATATACATGTACACATACACCCACACTTACATGCACAAAATAAGTATTGAAGGTGAAGAGTAAATACATCTCCTGCTGTTCTGACTGGGCTGTAGAGAGACCACAGCTCGACGCGGGACAGACAGGAGTGTGTTTCCATGTCAATGAGCTCTATGGAGATGGTCTGGCTCAGAAACAATGTAGTTGCTGGAATGAGGTAGACTACAGATCTGCTTCATAAGATACCTCGGACTGAATGTAGAAAAAGCGGAGTGATCCAGCTTGCTGGTTTTGAAATGTAAAATCAAAATACATTATTAGAATCTATAAACAATCAATGAAGCTTACAAAATCTTTCTAACATTTTGTTTAATTACTTGTTTTGATAATTATGGTAACTAGATGGTAGTGGTAAGTGGTATTACTTTGGCTAATAAAATAAGTAAATACAATACTGAAATATATATACAGTATATACACATACCCTACAGTTCAAATGTTTGGGGTCAGCATCATTTTTCTGAAGAAATTAATAATTTTATTCAGCCAAGATGCATTGAATTGATCAAAAGTGACACTAAAGACATTTACAATGTTACAAAAGATTTCTTCTTTTTTTAGAAAATGCAATTTTTTAGAACTTTTTAATCAAAGAAGCCTAAAAAAAATTCACAAAAATATTAAACAGAAACTGTTTTCAACAGTAATAACAAGAAATGTTCCTTGAGCAGCAAATCAGCATATTAGAATAATTTCTGACAGATAATGTGATACTAAATTTAGCTTTGCCATCACAGAAATAAATTACATCTTAAAATATATTTATATACATACACTGAACAAAATTATAAACGCAACACTTTTGTTTTTGCCCCCATTTTTCATGTGAACTCAAAGATCTAAGACTTTTTCTATGTACACAAAGTTTATAATTTTGTTCAGTGTATTTAACTACAATACAGTTATTTTAAATTGTAATAACATAATTGCACAATATTACTGTTACTGTCTGATCAAATAAATGCAGCCTTGGTGATCATAAAAGACTTCTGTCTTTTAAAAACCTTAAAAAAAGATCCTACCCATTACAAACCTTTGGAAAGTAAATAAAAAAATAAAAAAATAAAACTACACTGAATACAATGCGAAAAAATAACAATACCTGCACTTTGACAATATTAGCAATATCAAATGTGCTGTTAAAAAGATTGGTTGGGGGGGATATAGACTGGGGAATTAGACTGACTTGACTGAGAAACACTCAGTTTTTGTTCTTCTCCGAAACACATGAAAAACCAGCTTATCTTAGTGTATATTATGAATATTGGTTCATTATGGGCACCAACACATGTCCATTAAACACTCTCTGTGTGTTGGTCAGGTTTTGTTTACATTATGAGGACCAAATGTCTCCACAAGGACAGTAAAACCTAAAATCACCACACTGCAGGTCTCAGCCAGTGATCCCCAAGAGGAGAAAATCTTGAAAAACATACTAAATAATATCTTAATAAAAATCTAAAAAATAAAAAATGTGTGTGTGTGAGGGTTAAGTTTAGGGTTAGAAGTGAGATAAATTATCATTCAAAAACAACAGCAGTGAATGGAAAGTCCCACCATGAGAGAAAAACAAACGTGTGTGTGAGGTCAGTGAGGAGGTCTTCCTTTTGGGAGTAACATTGTTCAGTCCAGGGATTGAAGTCCAGAGGGACTAGATTTAATGAGCTCCAATTTTTGCTCTAATGACCCTCTCTCTACCCCCCCCCCCAATATTTTCCC